TTACAGAGTAAAAAGAAAACGTAGAAAAAAGAAAATATAATTATAACGAAATGTTGTAAATCTTTTTATAATTTTAATATAATATTCAACATGAAAAGAAATACTTTTTTTAGTCTTTTCTATTCGTGAAAAATGGCTGTCGTTAACAATTTTCATGCAATATGATTCAAAAATTTTTTTTAGATTTTTTTAAAGAAATGTTATTTGTAAAATTCGAAAAAAATGTAAAATCCAAGGTCACAAAGTAATTTCTGCAGTAATGGATTAATAATACCTGAATAGTCGTAAAGCAAAATACATAAAAGAAAAATAAGATGAAAACATCATTCTATACAAAGAAAAAAGAATTTATGAGTTTAATTTGCATTATAATAATCCACAAAGTTTATTGGTAGCAATAAATGGGTAGAAGGTTCTAGGATAGAGGTGAATCTCTGGGAGGGGCGAGGGGGGGGGTAAGGTAGATGCGGGATGAAAGGAAGAACCCGGGAGCGAAGAAATGGAAGCGAGGAGATGAAGGTACTCGAGGCAGTGTGGGGTAGGTCTCTCCCACCTCCCCACTACGTTCCCAGGCATTCGCTCTCTGTTGAGTCGGTCGTTTCTGCTGTTCCATCACGTAGGATGAGGACTAGCAAGCGTACCAGCAACAGCAGCGACCGATTGACCAGCAACAGCGACACAGGCGCAGTTCGACCGTGGAAAATTCCACTATTTCTCCTCTGCCCTTCGCAGCAGGAGTGGCGGAATGGAAGAGGGGAAGAGCTATTATTTTTATTGCGCGCTCTGCGGGCGCATTAACCTACGTTGCAGTTGAGTAATGTTAGCTTGTACTCGGTTATTGCCGTTGGCTATACAAGCCAACATGCACCTACAAACTGTGGCTATATATTTCGTTATTATGCCGTATACAGCGTGTTACCTCACGTGATTATTCAGAAACTGGAATATAATATACGTATTATATCGCATATTTAAATATTAAATGCAAATGTTTGATATAATTTATACGACTAAGTTGTAATGGTCATATTATTCTGCTTTTGCAGCAGGCTATTAATATTCATTGAATATTTTTATATTATATTCCCTTATAATAAAGCAGACATTACAGAGTTATATTGTAACAGCTGTGTATGTGTGAGAGAAATGAAAAATTTTTTTCATTTAACTACATTCATTTTATTCATATTTTCTTCTATAATAACAAGGAAGTTTAATTTATTTTTAATAAGTTTGTCCAGATTCAGATAATCGAGTTTTAAAATATTATACATAATTTATGTTTAAATTTGCACATTAATATTGATAATGAATACAAATTACAACCTCTATATTACACACGGTATTATGATAAGCTCGAACAAATTGTGAGATACAGTCTCGTAATTACGAATAACGAAACGTCGAGAATTCACATTCTGTCCCCCTTTCTCTTTATTCGAGGGACGTAACTTGAACAAAACTCATCAAGAAGAAATCGAGCTTAAAATATTGTACGCAACTGTGGTAAAATCGGTTTGAGGGGAAGTAACAGAGGGAAATGGTGGGTCAATGTACGTTATACGAAGCATCTTCCATCTCTTTTTCCTTCATCCTTTCCCTCCCTTTCACCCCTTTCCCCCAGTCGCAATCTCCTCTTCCACCTCCCTTTTCCTCCTCCCACTTCTCGTGCCAAAGTTACGCCGCTACTATATCGTGATAATCTTGCCTGCTCCATAAAGGGGATTACCTTCTCTGCGCCAAACTAACGCAGTCGTTGCTCATAGTATGGGGTTTCTACTAGTGGTAGAACGGAAGTGGCGAAGAGTGGGGGATGGGAGGGATCGATAATCAAGTATTTCTCGGAATGTAAATACTAGTGGCAACCGGGTGCATATTTGACCACCCAATTGTATGCATACAGCTTTACAGCGCAGAATCGCAGCAACGTCTGACTGGTTGATTACACCGCTTTGATTAACTTTTTATAAATATTTATTATTGCATTAACAGACAAATAGCATTAGACTATGAGTTTTCATATTATCGTAATGTAAAACAAATGAGCGAACAAGTAATATAACCAATGACTTTTGTATGCAATTAAGTGCAATTGTAGACGATGAGCGAAGCGTTGCGACTGGAGGCGTTCTTTCTTTGACGGATTTCTATTCACTGTAAGTGATGACGTCATTGAGTTGATTAGCTACAAAGTGCGCACAAAATATTTAATTAAAGACTATTTTTACGCTGTATAACTATAATTCTAAAAATATATATACTTGGTTCCATTTTGAACAGTTTTACACGCAAACGCGTCGTCTTTATTTTCTTTTGTTTCAGGGACGTGGCATACAAATGAGTTCAGATCTCAATTATTCTACTCATTTCCGAAGTTTTTGTCTGAAGTCTGCCAAATTAAAAAGAGCCAATCCCAGAAAAAAAAAAGGAACGATTCTAAAAATAGAATCCAGGTATTGTGCTACACGAAGTCTGGGACCGAGGTTCGTTACGATCAATAGACGGCAGATTCGGCCGTTTTCGACAGGTTCCGTTAAGTTCCCCTACTATATTCGTCCTCATCGACCTCTAACCATTACCGGCCACGCCTTGCTCGCGTGGATTCCACAAGCTAAACTGGTTATTCAGGATGCAATTACACTATTTGTGCACTATAAATTTCCCTCTTCAAATTAACTTTTGGAAAAAAATATGGTTCGCTTATCTTTTCAGTTTGTATACAAAGTGATTCATTTTTAATAAGACATCAATTTTTCTTTCGAATAAAATATTTTTTAAACAAATATTTCAAATGAAAATTTTAGAATTTTAAATGAGTAATGTAATACATATTGCAAATTTTTTAATCATATTTTTTAATCATATTTGTAAAATATCAATGTAATCGATATTTTATAAAATAGAAACGTTTAATTTTCCTGTGTATAATACAATTCCTATTATTAAATTATTCTGCAAATAAAAATTTAAATATGAAGTTACAAAATTAATAGATTAGGGGATATTTTTTTATATAATAAAATATGTTAGAATAAAATATGAAAAGTAAACTATCGATTTTTTTAACAATTTTCGTATTTTATTATGCACAAAATAACTAGGGAAATTAAATTGCATGAAAAAGTTAAATAGCTTCATTTTTTTTTTATTTGTATCTCACAAAAACACGTTATAAAAAATTTGCAAGCGTATACTATCCTAAAATTGTAAAACTTGTATTTAATATTTCAGAATTTTATTTTTTCAGGAACTTATTTCGAGAAAAAAATCGATATATTTAAAATGAATCAGCCTGTATATATGCACAAACATCAGATATATTCTATGACTGTATTATAGATGCAATATTATGCAATTGATTATTCATATTATGCATATATCAACTTCTCAGACATCAGATACTGTAATCAGTGAAGAAAAAAATAAGGAAACTTAGTAAAGTTATAAATTAATCATGCTCTTAAGATTAGCTTTGATAAGATTAAAAGTTTCACATAAAGTAGAGTAGAGCAGTTAACTTAAATTGATTGTATTGAAAGAGAAATATATTTTACGCGATAATAAATTATACTTTATACAAGATGAAACCAACTGCGAGAAATTTAATTACAGCAAAGAGTAAAGTACGTCGCGTCCACCATCATATGTTGCCAGCTTTGAGTCGCATAGGCTGGTATTTCCGACACGGACTGTATGGATCAATGTCATAACGACTACGTGGTGCTACGTAGTAATATGCCATAACAAAAGAAACAGGTGCGGTTTTAATTTCCACGGAACCAGAAGAACAATCGCGAAATTATGGATGTAAATCGTCAGCGTGCTTTTAAGTACAATGGATGACAGACGGCAATTGGACAGTTGGCGTTGACGGTTTTGCTGGGGAATTGCATGGAATGAGGGATTCAGTTGAAAGCCACGGGCATTTGGTGGCACAAGTGCGAGCGAGAAAGAAGAGGGGAACGGTGGGGAAGAGAGGGGGGGGGATAAGAGGAAACTTGGTGAAAGAGGGTAGCGAAGACGGAGGGAGGGGCGAATGGTAGGAAAAGCGGGTACGCGCAGAAAGGGGACGACTGGCACAGAATAGTTTAACAGGTTGTGGTTACGAGCGTTCGCCGTCTCCCATTGGTTCCCCACCCGTACTTGAGTACACGTTAGGTTAACTTAATTTTCATTCGTGCTCCCACCACGCTTTCTCCCTTTTCGCGTCATCCTTCCTCTTTCTTAGAATCATCTCCTTCTATTTGTTATTGTCCGTCCGTTTGCCTTGGACTGCCTCGCTGGCTGCCGTCACGTCGAAATAGTACTTTTTATATTTGCTGGGTTCCTCGCGAAGGATCTGAACACTGATGCATCATACGCGTTCGTAAGTATACATCACGCATATGTATAAGCATAACAAGAGTGAACCCCCTCCCCTCCCACTCTTCTCCCTCCCCAGCGGACAAGAGACGCGGCAAGAACAGGTAGAAGGGTGGGAGGAGGGAGGCAGCAAGAGAACAAGAGAAAGAGAGAGAAGGGGGAGGGAAATGGGAAGGAATATTGGATGGTGGGAGATAGAAGGAGGGGAGGGAGAGTAATAATCCCGCCGTCTGGAACGGCAAACGGCGCACGCTACCTCACGAGCGCGCGCGCGCGCGCGTCTTTACAAAACGACGTATCTGAAAAACTCTGAACTCGTCCTCAACAATTCATACAAGAGTTAATTATCCTGCCGCTCGTGCGCGATCGACGTCACCTACATCTTTTACTACTACCCCCCATATCGGGTACCTCAGTACTAATAATAAACTTCAGACTGGACGCGGAACAGGGCGACGGATCATAGCCGTGGCTGCCGCCGGGGAATGCACATCACGTCATTGAAACCCGTTTGAACTGTTTGAAGCGAAAGCGAGTGTAGTAGTGCCGTGTATGCACGGACCGACCACAGAAGTGATCATGTCATGATACCGTCGCGTCATGTCGTAATCATGTGTAAGAGAAAATTTACTCACGAGCAAAAGCGCGGGAGTAATCATATTCGCGTGACGGCATCTAGGCAAGGAAGATCGATCACTTTTTTTTTATGTTGATCCGCAGCTGCGGCGCGGCTGCTGTTCGTGCGACGAAATGAGAGGTCGATTCTCTCTCTCTCTCTCTCTCTTTCTCTCACCCGCTGTCTCCCGCCGAATGCGCCAAGAAAGCGCGCGTAATTAATTGACTTTACCTACCGTTGAACATTGTTTGCGTTTACCGATTCGAAAGGTAGTATTAAAGAAATGTCAAGTCGCCGGTGTCGCGTGTAGTTTATCTCAATTCTTCTTCTTGTGCTCCGGTTTGTTATGAATCCGACGCGATCATTCGTGCGGCTACCGAAAGACCGCCCGCTTCTCGAATTGGGAATTCAATTGAGAATAATCACCGAATTTCGGGTTTCAATGAGAGCAACCGGTGATAGTGCGCGCGTATTAGTATTGGCAAATAATCGCTGATAGTACGCGATGTTCGTGCCGATTATAGCATCTGAGATTGTTCACCCAAGGATAAGCCGATGTTGACAACAATGTCTGTAAGTATAAAGCTTGCCGCAGTATACAAACGCGTTACTTGCGAGAAAACTAAATAGGAAAATTGCAAATCGTTATAAAACCTTTCTCTCTTTCTTTCGCTATAAAGCGAGATTTTAACTACCTGCGTGCCTGTTTATATTTAATAAACTTGCGCAGATTTGATGTAATCGGATGTTGTATAAAAATTTTCCGTCTGCTCGATAAAACTCCGAGTATTGCTTATTTATTCGCAGATTGCGAAAATTAATAATCCGATTGTATCACGATTTTCAGGAATTTAAATTTTCTACAAAAAATAAGATGTATGAGGACGGCGCTGTGGAGCTGTTGCAAAATTTCGGTACGTGTTTTGTATAACAATAATCAGTTGTAACATAGACTAATACTAATTCTCTATAAAGTATAATTCTGTACAGACTGACATATAAATATGAGTCTCACCATATTCTTATGTCAAATTTTGAATAATTATAATATTTTTGAAAGGTTTAAACTTTGAAAAATTTGAATATTAAAATATATGCATATATATATATATATATATATATATATA